TATATATATATATATATATATATATATATATATATATACGTGTATGTATACATGTTTGTATGACTTGGCATTCGGTGATCAAATGCGGGTTCTAGGGGCGCAACGGTAAACAAGTATACTTTATGCATCCCTTACTTACTTGAGCATATGGTGGCAGTGGACTCCGGCAAGCAACATCCCCTGTGGATGATGCGATCAAGTTTTTTGTATTTCAGTTTTTTTTTATTCTTAGTGGTATGTTTTTTTTTTTTTTTTCGTATTGTAACTTTCTTTTTTGTTTTGCCTTTCTTCTACATCTTTAAATACAGGTGAAGAGTTTTAGTAAATTAAAGCGAAAACATGTACGGTGGCTACGGTGGACTTTCTTCCATGTACGGTGGTTTGGGAGGCGGGATGTCTCCCATGTACGGTGGTTTGGGAGGTGGAATGTCCTCTATGTACGGTGGTTTGGGAGGTGGAATGTCCTCTATGTATGGTGGTTTGGGAGGCGGAATGTCCTCTATGTACGGTGGCGGAATGGGCGGTAATGGTCTAACAGGTAATATGATGGGAGGAGGAATGTCAACGGGCATGGGTGGAGGAATGCTAGGATCTAATGGAGAAAACACGAACAGTTTACTTCCTCCCCAGTGTGATCAGCAGACGCTTAGACTTCCAACCAATGCTCCTATTAATGAAACCCCAAAAGAACGTCGAGCAAGACGCCGTCAGGAACGGATGCAAGAAAAAGAAGCTATTGAGAAGCATCGTCAACAAAAAAGGCAGTTTGCAATACATTCAACGATAGAAGTAGCTGGACATGTGCTACAAATATTAATTCAAGTTATGAGGTCAGGCCTTGAACTTTTTGGTGTTGGATTTGGTACGTATTACAGCATCAAGGCTCTAAAGGCTCTTGTCAAAAGTCAAGAAAACTCCGTTCCACGCTCTGTTGTACAGAAGGCCGTTATACAAGGAAATGGAGAGGTGTTAAAAGATGGTGGAATTCCCAAGAGCAATAAGTGGAAAGTATGGTTATTGATTTCTATGTTGTTTTTAACATTAGAAGGACTATATAATGTACTTCAACGTTTACGTAACCCTCATGGACGACGAGCTATTAACCGTGGTCAATCTGATATACTTCTTACAGATGAAGATGAAGAATTGCAAGAAAATTTAGATGAGACAAGTGAGTGTAGTAGTGATGATGAGAGCTCGATGAACTCTACATTATCAGTAGAGGATATTTATGATAGTACAAATGTAAAAGGGAAATCAAAAAAACGTGTGTTCATAGCCGTATATGACTATGAATCTCCAGAGAGAGATGGTTTCCTTGGATTTAAGGCAGGAGATCGTTTTGTCATTGAAGATTATGCAGAAAATGGATGGTGCGAAGCCACTCTTGTGGATGGTTCAGAAAGAATGACACATAAAGGTCTAGTCCCTGGTAACTTTCTACGAGTTCTGGAGGGTGAAACAAAATTGTAATATCAATTGCCTTATTTGAACAGTTTTTTTTTATATATATATTATATATAAATGACCCATAAAGAATGAAAAGGCGCCTCTTTTTCTTTCTATCTATTCAATCAGCGGGTAACTCGCTATAACACTCAAAAACTGTGTGTGGGTATGCAACAAAAGGAGGAAGTAAAACAACAAGGAAAGAAGGGGTGAAAAAGGTTATAAAGAAAAAAAAAAAAAATGAGTCTCTTCTCTTACTTCTTGGTGTTACAATATTCAGATTCAGATAAAAACTGCAAAAGCTTTCTTCATGTTTCCTTGATCCATTTCTTTTCTTTATATTCTTTTTTTTTCCCCCTTTTTTATAAATAATAATAATAATAATAATAATAATAATAATACTACATTATTAGCCACTTGTCGAAGAGATACCGCACAGCAATGGCTGACGCCCCAATCGCTCCTGCTGGTGAACAGCGTGGCTTCGGCCGTGGTCGTGGAGGCCGCGGTGGCCGTGGCGGTCGTGGAGGCCGCGGTGGCGCTAACGAGGAAAAGGACTGGGTTCCATGCACAAAGCTGGGTCGCCTGGTGAAGGAGCAGAAGATCACCTCCCTTGAGGAGATCTTTCTCTTCTCGATGCCCATCAAGGAGCACCAGATTGTGGACCAGCTGATCAAGGAGAGTGATCTTCGTGATGAGATGATGCTCATCTTCCCCGTCCAGAAGGCCACATCGGCTGGTCAGCGCACACGCTTCAAGGCGTTCAACGTGGTCGGTGATGGCAACGGACACATTGGTGTCGGCGCTCGTGTCGGCAAGGAGGTGTCACTCGCCATTCGTGCTTCCATGATCGCAGCGAAGCTGAACATCGTCCCCGTGCGCCGTGGTTACTGGGGTAACAAGATTGGTGAGCCACACACGATCCCAATGAAGGTGACCGGTAAGTGCGGTTCTGTCGCCGTCCGTCTCGTCCCTGCGCCACGTGGTACTGGCATTGTTGCGGCACCCGTCCCAAAGAAGATTCTCGAGTTCGCCGGTGTGGAAGACGTGTACACCAGCTCCTGCGGCAAGACCCGCACACGTGGCAACTTCATCATGGCAACCTTCTACGCGCTGCGCAAGACGTACGGTTTCTTGACACCCGACCTCTGGGCAGAGACAGAGGTGTCACGTGACCCCACTGATGAGCACTCAGAGTTTCTCGCCATGGGTGGCAAGATGATCGCCGCGTAAAGGGATCTCCTGACGACACTTTGGTTTTCGTTATTTCTCATTTATTTTATGTTCTTGATTTGTGAAAAAAAATAAAATAAAAAAAGAAAAATTTTTTTTTATCTTTTCTATAGATCGTTCATCTGAGGTATTCTGTAGTTTTTCTTTTTTATATCTTGTTTTTCGTTGCAAAACGTATTGTTCTTGATTTCTTTTCTCTTTTTTGTTTCTTTCATCTGTTGTTATGACAAGAAAAACAAAGCTAATTTGTAGAAAAGTTCGTAAGTTGTAAATGAACTCCAAGGGTAAGGGTGCCACCACAAAGGTTGACTACAAAGGAACTAGTCGTCCGCGTCCTCCAAGGGACGAAAACCAAAAGCCCCCGTTGAGCGATAACAAGAAAAAAGTGCCTGTAGGACGAAAGACGGCAGAAGTGCAGTCCCAGCGAACACCTGCAGCTAACGGCCCCTTGGTGCAACAGAAGACACAGGCGGTTACGACTACCAGTTGGGTGAAGGGAGGTAGTTCACTTTCTTTTGCTGATATCGTGAGAAAGAAGGCCGAGAATGTGGTTCCTACTCCTCCCGTGGAACACTCTGAAGAACCTGCCACAGTGCACGTGGAAGAAGAAGTTGTTGTAGACGTAACACAAGAGGTTCAAGAAGAAGAACCTATAAATGTTCAACCTCTAAACGGTGAAAATGAAGATGATATACCTTACGATGCCATGCAGCAGGATTCTGCCATTGAGGCCGCTATTCCAGCTCCCCAAGTAAAGGTACTTGAGGATGTTCCTGCTATTAAGTACTACGTACTCGAAATCGATCGAATTATGGAGGAATCTGTATTACTTCCATCGCGTGCCACTACAATTGCTGATGAACACTCAGGTACCTATATTTTCTCTGGTCAGTCTGGTAAGCCCCCTACTCCTCCTGTCGCTCAGGTTCAGCAGCAGTTTTATCGTCCTGAAACGACGACCGTTCGGCCTTTTGCTGGGATGGGTACGATATCTGATATAAACCGAGGTTCTCACTGGAATGCACAACCAGGCCATTCAGTTGATTACTCAAATGTTAATTGGGCTCTGCAAGATCGTAGCCAGAGACCTTTTCATCAGCCCATGCAGTACAATTCCTACCCAGCACCGGTGCAGCAACAAACACAGAGAAATTTTATTCCTCCGCCTGTCAACAGAACACGACAGAATGAAGTGTCAGATGCCTCTCTTCGTGCCTTTCGGGATGCTGGGGCATTCAATCGGCACCCAGGTAATGGAGGAGGTGTTTGGTAAAGTTTATTCCTCCTTCTTTGTGGGGGCGGGCTCTCATAAAACAAAACAAGAAAAAAAAAGAAAGAATTTTAACAAAAAAGAGAGAAAGAGAATGGGATAAATTATTGTTTCCCTTCTGCTGTGATCGTCTTTTTTTTTTTTTTTTTAAATGCCTAATAAAAAAAGAGATTATGAGGATCAAATGATGCTTGACTCTCCTTGAACACTGCCGAAAAGGTGCTTTTTTTTTTGGTGCATTTCAATCTGTACTTGAAGAAGAAAAAAAAAAAAAGCACAAAACCTTCTCTCCACCGCTCAGCCTTTTTTTCTTTTCTTTTTTTTTTCTTTTTCTCTGCCGATCTGCGTGTGCGTGCTTCTGTGTCTCTGTGTTTTAAGGTGGGTGTGTGGGGGGGGGGGGGTGTAAAACGTAGTTCCTTTTTCTTTTGATCTTCCTTTCTTATTTATGTATTTATTGTTTTCATAGAGTTCACTCTCTTTTTTAAGTGAGGGAAGGTAATAGTGAGTGGACCAGGGTAAAATGATGGAGTACATTCCCAATAGTGATGGCCTAATGCGATCAACGCTGCGTGACACCATTAAGCGCATCCGCCGCATTCGGGCTAAGGCTGGCCGTGAAGATGAGAAGGAAGAAGAATCCACCGGTGATCCACTTCGTGATTTGTCTCTTGCATTTATTCGCTGTGTAAATCGTGCTAAAGAAGGTATAAAGGAGCGTAACGAAGGTGTAAAACAGCATGGACATGATCGCATGTCTATTGAACAATCAAATAGTATTCGAAAAGATTTACGAACGATGGAAACACTCTTGGAAGAGATGAAGAAGTTTGTAGATACCTCTGAAACAGCGCTAGCTAAAGAAAATAAAAAGAAAAAACCAAGTAAGAGAAAATTAGGACTTTTAGAAAAACAACGTGATGAACGTGCAGCACAATATAAAGAATGTCTTTCTACATTAGAACTTGTGCGGGAGTTGGATATTCAGTATTTGCCTTCAGAAAAGAAAGAAGTAGACCTCGCGCAGGAGACACAATTGGGACGAAAAGCACAACTTCGTGAACAACTCCTTACGATGAGGCGACCTCGTAAAGGTGAGAATAATCATGTTGATCCCAATGGAGATTTTGAACTTCAGGACCTATCTGTAGGAGGTGGCCGTTTACAGGATCAGGAGGAGACAAAGGAGGCAATGAAGACTATTGCAGCACAGGATGCTAAAATTGATGCTGGTTTAGACAGACTTAAAGCTGGAGTCGGTCGATTGCAAAGTCTCGCGACAGAAATAGGAGCCCAACTTGATATGCAAAATCAGATGCTGGATAAAACAGAGCATAAAATGGACTCACAAATGAAACAGATACGCAATATTAATCGTCGTCTCGGGAAGATGATAAAGGAGACAAAACCAATGAATACCTTTATGAATGTCTGTTGTATAGTGCTCATCATTGCTCTTGTGGGTTTCTTTCTTGTGCAATTCAACGTTATATAACCGAAGAAAAAGTGTGAGAGTGTTACAGTGCGTCTTTTTTTTTTTTGCCTCCCTCCTTCTTTGTATCCCCATATATATATATATATATATATATATTTTCTTTCATTCATTCATTCATTCATTATGTTGTTATTCAGTTCGGTTGGCAGGGTTAAATTTTTTTTTTTAAAAAAAAATTTAATGCCTTTTTTTTTTTATTTGCACAGTGTGCCGAGCTGCTACTTTCTTTTCTTTTTAATGTATGTATCTCTGTCTGTGTATGTGTGAATGTATGTGTGTGTTTCTGTCCTCTCGCTCTCTCTCTCTCGCACACTGTTTATTCTCTTCACATATGCAAACTCATTCTATTTCGTGTTTTTTTTTTTTTTTCGCTGTTGTTGTTCTTCTTGTTTTGGCATGATTTTCTCTGCCCTTTTTCCTATAAGGGTGAAAAAGGAATAAGAGTTTTGGAAAAGAGGAGCTGTTGAAAGAGGAAAGAAAGAAAGAAAAAAAAAAAGGAAAGAAGAGGGGATTTATACTCAGAGAAAAGGAGATATAAACAATGACAAAGGCATCCAAACGACAGCGCGAGGGCGACGAAAAGATTCAGGAGGAAGTAAAAACCACCACTGAAAGTCATGAAGAAGAAACAATGCTAGGAAAAATGCAGCTACAAAGAGCGACAACAGATAAACGAATGACAAACCGACAAAAGTGTCTGGTCCTTGGTTCCCGTAATATTTCGAGTAAAGATCGTCATTTGCTTATAAACATTCGTGACCTTATGCCACATGCACGAGAGCATGCAAAACTTGGTCGAACCCAGAATGTGGGAAACGATCTTGAGGAACTTTGTTCCCTTCACCAGTGCAACAGCACTCTTTTTTTTGAGGCTCATCGACACGACATTAGTTATCTGTGGATTGCGCAAGCTCCTCATGGTCCCAGTGTAAAATTACAGTTAACTAACGTTCATACAGCCGATGAAATTCGTATGGCTGGTAATTGCTTGAAATTCAGTCGACCTTTACTTCACTTTGACAGAGATTTTGAGACTCAGCCACACCTTCGAGTTGTGAAGTCTCTTCTTCAAATGACATTCAATACACCACGTTATCATCCGAAATCTAAACCCTTTATTGATCACATTTTATGTTTTTTTTATCTGGATAATCATATTTGGGTCCGTCACTACCAAATTATTGACAGTGAACCACGGGGTTTGATGGAAATTGGACCTCGTTTCACACTGGAGCCTACTGCTATTTTCAACGGCTGTTGTGGAGGTAATGTGATCTGGAAGAATGTCATGGCGAAGTCACCTACTGAACAACGCCGTGATAGAAAAACGCGACGCCTTGAAAAGACTCAAGTCAATGAAACCATTAAGGCAATGTCGCAGACTCATAAGGCACTGAATCCCGCACCAGAAAGCAATCCATTGGATTTGGTTTTCAAGAACTAATGATTCAATTTAAGTTCAAACGTCGTAGTCTAACACACACTTTTTTTTTTTTTTTTT